CATTTCATAACATCAAAAATAGTAGCTGCTCACCACTATTTATTCAAGTTCATTTCACGTTTCTTTCTAACTCTAACATTCTGGCAACATTTATTCATTTGTCCCCTGAATATGACCGACAAATGCTTATTTGTTTCTATCCATCCTCAACATGCCTGAGTGGGTTTCTTTAAGGATCCAAGCTCAAATTCCTCCTGTCTGTGTGTGTATATACATTTAAAGCCAAGACCTGGTAGTTCATGAACAGTAATGTCACTACCATTCAACTGTTTGATAGTAAAATATCACATACTCTGTTCAAACGGCCCCATTGCTATCAGGATAGAACCAAAACTTTGCTATTGGGATTTATGTTATGTGAGAGCAGGAAGGAACCTTGAAGAGACATTCAGAGCAACTATTCGTTTTATAAATAGAGGCACCAAGGCCCAGAGAGAGTAAGTTATTGTTCAACTCACACAATTAGTAGCATGAAACAGGGCCTTGAGTTCAGGGCTATGCTGGGGCCAGCTTGTTCCAGGTTGAGACCCAGTTTTCAAATTTTCAGAAATTTTTTCAGCCAGTTGGGGTATTTACACCATAGGAATTGGCAGACTACAAATTGGGGCATTCTTCTCTTCTCCTGTCCCTGGAGAGCTGGTTGTCAAGCATTTATCAGAACATCATTGACCTTGATTTTTTTCTCCATTTTCTTGAGAGTTTGAATGGAGGTCCCTTGGGTTTCATTTTTTTCTCTGTCATAGTGGCCAGGGTACAGCTTCCACAACATCCAGACTTGCCTATCCATCTGTCTCCACCTGGATGTCTTGCACTCAACTGAAACTTAAGCTATCCAGAATCAAACACTTGATTCCCCACCAGCCACCTCTAGTCTGCCACTGCCCCAACACCATCCATTACTATTCCTCCAGGTATTTGCTCCGGAAAGGTGGAAGTTGCCTCTTGATTATTCCTCCTTTTTCCTTATATTTTGGGTTGAATTTCCTTATATTTTTGGTTGAATTGTGCCCCTGCATCCTTCCTAAAATAGATACCCATGACTGTGACCTTATTAGGAAATAGGGTCCTATTAAATTTTTTTTACAGATGCAATTAAAATGTAAATTGAGTTAATTTTATAGTATGATGAGCCTTTAATCCAATATGACTGGTGTCCTTACAAGAAGAGACATGAAAGAGATGTGCACGTAATGACAGAAGCAGAGACCAGAATGAAGTCTCTATAAGCCAAGAGATGCCAAAGATTGCCAGCAATCATCAGAAGCCAAAAGAAAGGCTCCAAACATTCTCCCTAGAGCTTTCAGAGAGATCATGATCCTGCTGACACTTTGATTTCAGACTTCTGGCCTCCAGAACTGTGAGGCATAAATTTATCTTATTTTAAGCCACCCAATTTGTAGTCATTAGTTATAACAGCCCCAGGAAATAATACACCTCCCAACCCTCACTCCCTCCATGTTCAATGCATCAGCAAGGCTTTGAATCATGTCTCTAAATGGAACTGGGATCTACTTCTCTGCCACCACTTTAATTCAGGCTACCTTCATCTCTGCCTTGGACACTGCCACCTTTTCATCACTAGCCTAGACTTGACCCCTCCGTTCCATTCAGAAAGATCCACACATATAGCATATCTTCTCCTGCTTGGAAGTCTGATTTCTATTGCTCTTAGCATAACCTTCACATGTCTTAACATGGCTTACAAGATGCCAGCTGATCCTGGAAAGGTCATCTCAGTAACATTCTCACCTCCTGTGTTCCAGCTGCAACTGTCTGCTGCTTTTTTTTTTCCTTCAGTTCCTCAAATTTGACAAATTCCTTTCCATCTCAGGTCTTTGCAGGAAGTATTTACTCTGCCTAGGGAACTCTCTATTGCCTTTCTCCTACTTATTACTTTTCTAACTACCAGTTCCTTCTTAACTTTAAGTTTAGAGAGTCTGTCCCTCCACCAGAATAGTCTCTTCCTTCCCAGAAGTGGCCTACAATGTAAATTTTCCATTCTCATACCAAGCAATGGAATCCAATTCCCTTCCACTTGAATGTAAGCTGGCTGGCCTCCTAGCTTACGGGCAGCCAACAGAAATTGTTAAAAGTTTTGTTGTGTGACTTTCCCACCTAGGTCCCAAGCATCATGAAGCTCCAACCTAATTTTCCTGGAATGCTTGGTCTGGGGGAAGCTGGAACCTATGTAAGAAATCCAACAACCCTGAAACCATCAGGCTGAAAACAACCTGCTCCAGTTGACAGTCCCATCTGAGCTTAGCCTTTTAGCCACTGCTACCCCCAAACATGGGAGTGAAACTCTTTGGATCCTTTAGACCAGGCCATTCCCATGCCACAGTCTGACTGAATTCCTGATTTACTGGGTCCATGAGGCATAATCTAACAGCTGTTGTTTTAAATCATTACTTTTTGAGGTAGTCTGTCATGAAGCAATGGTAGTGGGAGCCACCGACATAATAGTTATACACGACTCCCAAACGTTGACATGTTGGTCTGACATCTGTGAGATGGGAAGCTCTGTGACAGCAGGGACCATGCCTGACTTCCTCACTACTGTATCTCCAACAGCTAATGTAGAATTTGCTATGCTGTAGGTGCCCAATGAAGGTAAGACATAGGATTTGCTATGCTGTAGGTGCCCGTTAAAGGTAAAACAGTCCCAAGTTAGTATGGTTTTAGGCTACTTAAAAGTATTTAAAGCTTGACACTGCACAAAAACTTCTGGGATCCCCTATGCTAACTGAAGGAAGGAATGAGCTCTTCCTATCTCAGCCTCTTATAATGGAATCTGACATTTGCAATTTCAGTCACGAGGAAATAACTTAGAACTAATTTCTTTCAGGCTTCTAAACTGACCAGTCTTATTCATAATCTTCTACTGAGATGACAAAATGTATTATAGGTTATAGTAATATCTTCGGAAAGCTGCAGTAATTTGGTAACATTAAATGTCAGGAAGTAGCTTCATATTAAAACTGATCAAAGACTATGATTAAAGAGAGACCATCGAATATCAATAAGAGACAAACACAATTGCTTATTTTTTCACCACCAATTTTAATAAACTCATTAACCCTTGTGATGATGTTTCTGCCAGTGGATGTTAGAGAAATTTACAATACTTGAACTTACCCACATTCACCTTAAAATAGAATAGGAAGTATCAGCCTCATTTACATAATTGTTTTGGATTCTCTAGACAGAAATAATTTTCAGGGTTGTCTTGTCTGTGCATAATCTGCAATTCAAACTAGAGGCTTCAGAATTTTTTCTTTCAACTTCTTTGTGATAAGAATCCAACCTGTCTCCTAAGGTTAAATCTTGCCTGATATGTTTTATAAAAATCTGATCTTCTGTTGCAAGATGCTTCTGACCAACCTAAAATTAGACTGTGAGCATGGTATCTCTTTACGTCTTTAGAATCCTTCTCTAAAAGTTTGTGAGAATGCTTCCAACCAACAATTTTTCTCTAAAGCTTGGCCCTATCATATGTTCTCACATATAGTCATCTTACACAGATGCTTAATAAATCTGTGATTAGTTACTAATAAAGGTCACTCGGAAGATGGATCGTATAGGTATACATTGGTTACTTTGGTTGTTTTTGGAATGTCAGTTATGCAGAACATTGATTCCTTTGACTTCCCTTTAAAAGGCATGAGTCACCTCTGATACATAATCTCTTATGTACTAAAAACAGTTTGTAGTTGTGAAATAGTTCAAAATTCATTTGAACTTTCTAGGAATCTTTCCCTTCCCTTCCCTCCCCTCCCTCCCTCTGTTTTCTTTTCTTTTCTCTTTTCTTCTCCTTCCTTTTTTCCCTCCTTCCTTCCTTTTTTCCTTCCTTCCTTCCTTCCTTCCTTCCTTCCTTCCTTCCTTCCTTCCTTCCTTCCTTCCTTCCTTCTTTCCCTCCCTCCCTCCCTCCCTCCCTCCCTCCCTCCCTCCCTCCCTCCTTCCTTCCTTTCTTCCTTCCTTCTTTTTGAAACAAAGTCTCGCTCTGTCACCCAGGCTGGAGTGCACTGGCACAATCTTGGCTCACTGCAACCTTCACCTCCTGGGTTGAAGTGATTCTCCTGCCTCAGCCTCCCGAGTAGCTTGGATTACAGGTGCACACAACCATGCCTGGCTAATTTTTGTATTTTCAGTAGAGACAGGGTTTCACCATGTTGGCCAGGTTGGTCTTGAACTCCCGACATCAAGTGATCCACCTGCCTCGGCCTCCCAAAGTGCTGGGATTACAGGCATGAGCCACTATGCCTGGCCAAAAATTATTTCTCAGAGGTGATTTTGATCAATGTATAAAGTCAGGAGGGGCTAGGCTATGCTGTATTAACAAATATCACCTAAATACCAGTTAGTTATTTCTTGCCTGTATTACATGACCAATTTGAACTTGTGTGTGTGTGTGTGTGTGTGTGTGTGTGTGTGTGTGTTGGGCAGGAGGAGGCAGTCCTTTAATCATTAGGAGCCTACACTTGACAGACGTTCCATCTTGGGATGTTTTCAAGAACACAAGGACAGGAAAAAGGGCACCTAGTAAAATGTGCACTGGCTTGTGATGCTCCTATCTGGAAGTGCTGCATGTCTCATGTTCTCACAATTCATTAGCCAAAGCAGTGACGTGGCTATGACAATTTTCAAAGGATGTAGAGCAGTGCAAGGCCTCCATGAGCCTTGAAGGAGCAAGAATCAGAATATTTGTGAACAGCTGAAATGACTACCACAAATTAGAGAGTGACCCAGGGCTTCCCAAACAATCGAGCAATTGCCTGTTAGAGGGAATAAACATTCCAGACTTTCCTTCTCTTACTTTATGTTTATTTCCAAATGCCCAGCAGAAGGCAGTTAGAATAAAGTTTCAAATAAACATGAGCTCCTTGGAAACAGTTGATTTGTATTTGCATGGGAAGATAGTATTCTGTATCCGATAGCATCTCTGTGGCTCTAGAGAAAACTATAGTTTGATATTAGAATCAATCTTTTTTTTTTTTTTTCAGATGAAGTCTTGCTTTGTCACCCAGCCTGGAGTGCAGTGGTGTGATCCTGGGTCATTGCAACCTCCGCTACCTGAGTTCAAGCAATTCTCCCACCTCAGCCTCCTGAGTAGCTGGGATCGCAGGAGGCTGAGGTGGGTGCATACCACCAAACCCAGGTAATTTTTTTTTTTGTAGAAATGGAGTTTCACTATGTTGGCCAGGCTGGTCTCAAGCTCCTGACCTTAAGTGATCCACCCACCTTGGCCTCCCAAAGCTCTGGAACTATAGGCATGAGCCACCACATCTGACCTACTACTCATTCTTTTTTCTTTTTTTTTTTTCTGAGACGGAGTCTAGCTTCTAGCTCTGTCGTCAAGGTTGGAGTGGGCAGTGGTGTGATATCACATCACTGCAACCTCTGCCTCCTGGGTTCAAGGGATTCTTCTGCCTCAGTCTCCTGAGTAGCTGGGATTATAGGCGCCTGCCACCATGCCCAGCTACTTTTTGTATTTTTAGTAGAGATGTGTTTCACAGTGTTGGCCAGGCTGGTCTCAGACTCCTGACCTCGTAATCCGCCCTCCTGAGCCTCCCAAAGTGCTGGGATTACAATCATGAGCCACCGCGCCAGGCCCCAAGCATTCTTTAAAAAGAAATGCTTAGTTTCTTGCTATCCAAAATTGTAATATGGGACCAGCAGCATCAGCATCATCTGGGAGTTTGCTATAAATGCCACTTCTCAGCGCTGGATTAAAATATCTGGGAAATGCCCATGAAATCAATGATATATCACGTTTAAAATTATACAATCAGAGCCTGACAGGTTTTTTTTAAACTTTTCTTTTTAAAATTTGGATTTTCAAACTGTTATAGAGCTTACGACTAAAAAAAATATACAGTGATGAATCATAGGAGAAGCAAAACCCACTATATTTAAAAGTTGTGTGTGCATAATATTGTTTTTCATGAAGGCATCTCATGGGACTGACATCTTAATTTTGTAGTTTCAAAGAGAATGACAGTTGAATGATGCTACATTAGCTGGCTTTAGGGGAGGGCAGATGATACAATACTGAGCACAACCTACATGTCTCACAACACTGAAAACCAAAACCTTCAGGTTTTCCCCACACTTCTTTGGATTAATGATCAGGTCCTCAAAGACAAACTTCCATTTCCAAACTTTATGGAATGCACACATTCTCATAGCCTATCTGAGATACCACCCATTCTGGGGAGAGGGTATTTTGGTGCATGTAAAAGACACACTATTCTTAACATTAGCACAGTAGTACAATTCAGAGGCAATAGTCATATTTGGGTTTTTTTTTCATCCCTAAAAACAAGAATGTATCCACAAAAAAATAGCAAAAATGAAGTAAAATTAAAGAAAATTAATTGGACAAAATTATTTCCTCCCTGAATTGGGGGAGGGAGAGTGGTACCTTTTAGGAATTTTCAGCCCACATTATCCTGACCTCCCAGGAAAACAGAAACCTGATTTGGTGCTCAACAATAATGCCTAGATTTGTTTAATGCTTGTTGTGAAAATAATTTCACTCTAGATAAATTTTTAATGTAATCACCACCTGGGGAGAGAAAGAAGAAGACACAAACAAATTGCCATACATTTTGTGGCTCTATCTAATGTAAATAAGACAATTTATCCACCAGTTTTATGATGCATTTCCTTTATACACGGCTCCTTCTCAAAACTACTGCAGCAAGATACCAAAATCATTTAATGAGAAACATAAAACACGTGCAGATAAGGTAGGGAAATGGATGTGTATTTGGAATCACTAAGAGACACCTCAGTTATCATCCTTATAATTTAGACATCTTGACACAGTTTTATTCCTTTCTGTTTGTAGTAATTTTTCTGCTACTCCCAAAATAAGCGAGTTTTATCATCTGCAGATACATGACACTTGGATAGGGTGGTTATAGCCCTACTTCGCTTTTCTCAATCTGAAAAAAACTTGTTTCACAGGAAAGTAAATCATGATGCTTAATCAAAATAAGAAAGATCAGACTGAGCAGAACTAACAAAACTCATCTGCTCTTCTAGTTTTCAAAAATGTGAGTTTTTGACATCTGATTCCTGATCTGACCCTCAAGAAGTGGATCTGGTTATAAAGAGATGATGTTTTACAGTACATGTGACCAAAGTTTAGCTGCTATAATATTCTTAATGTAGTTATATAACCAGACTATGCAAGGTTTCTCACAAAACCAGAAAAGCTCCTCTCTCCCTATCATTCCCTTCCTGTACTGTTTTCAATTACTGGCTTCTGAATCGTTCAGGAAACTACTGAGAACCATTAACAGGTTATTGGAATGCCCAGAGTGACTGCCCAAGGACAGGAAAATGCACTGGCTCTTTTTAGAAGAACCTGGAAAAGCACATGCAGACCATTGCTGCTGAGTTGGCAATGGGTGATTTCCTTCTCACAGTGTAATGTACAATAGCTGTAATTTAATTGTTAATAGAACACAACATGCAGTCTGTCTTCAGGCCTCTGTGTTTCCTGTGGTATTTTCTTCCCAGGTTGGAGTGTCTTTGCATAATCACATCTTATTCTCTTTTAACAGTTATCAACTCTTGGCTAGATACACTTATATAATACAGTCAGATTATAGCTTATTCACAGTTTAGCCATTCTCACTATCATCAAACAGAACTAATTGCTGAGATGCTCATTCTAATGTACAGAACAGCTTGTCCTTTGTTATTTAGAAATTGTTTATATTCTCTTTTAATTTCTTAAAGATATACTCATAATTCTTTAACTGAGATAGGGCATTTCTTCTCATTTATTTATTTATTTTAGAGATGAGATCTCACTATGTGGCCCAAGCTGATTTTGAACTTCTGGCCTCAACCAGTCCTCCTGTCTCAGCCTCCCAAAGTGCTGGGATTACAAGTGTGAGCAATTGCACTCAGCTATTTCTTCTAGTTTTAGATCTCTATAATAAAATGATGCTTTTCTGTGATCCCTTAACATTGTCTACACTTATGTGCATGTTCATATTTGTTTTACTGTTGCCTAGTTTTCCATTTCATTCATTCTTTTATCCAATACATGTTAATTATCACTTTTCTAATTAATAAGGGTACTTGAGTAAGCAGAGCAGACAAACCCCCACCCTTAAGAAATCTGTATTATTTTTAAGTTGTTGCAAATTTGGGTTTTTATTTAAAAAAATAAAAATTCCAAGCTGATAAAACCAATCTGACAGCTACTTGCCTCACCAATATATGCATGTTATAGCCAGAATTCAGAAATAACATTTATGATCATTTATTTTGTCTGGCAATGTGCCAATCAATTTACATTTATTTTAGCTCATTTAATGCTCACAACAACTAGAAGGAGGCACTATTAGGATACCTATTTTACAGATAAAGAAAGTGAAGGTCAGAGAGAATATAGTTAAGAGAAGGATACAAGATGAGGTTCCCCTAGACCCTTAACAACCATTTCATATTCCAGGTGATGCTTTGCAGACATCTGATGAATGGATGAATGAACGAATGCATGCACTTCTTGGAATTCTCATTCAGCTTGGCATAAACACTAACTCCTTAGATTACCCTAGAAAAATCTAGACATTTTGTGGGAAGAGAAGAGTGGGAAGGGTGGTAGGGAATTATTTTTTCGAGTGAGTTGAGGCAGATGATCTTAAAGATGACTGGGTTCTACCCGAGCATGGTTGCCATATCTGAAAGATGAGAATAGGGCAGACTCGGAGTTCTGTCCGCCCTTGGTAGCCTCTGAGATTCAAGCTCATCAGCAGAGTGTTGGAGGACAGTTCCTGCAGAGTCCAGGAATCAGAGGAGACTTGGAGGCAGGAGGAACTGGCTATCCTAAAGGTGATGTTAAACCCGGGCAGCCGGAGCCCAAAGAAGGGCGAAACCAGGACTAATTGCCCCACAGCATGAGGGGCAGCGCCTGTTAAATTACATAGGATTTGGAAAGGTGTTAGGCACTCTTGTGCGGGGTGAAGCTTCGCAGGGTCGTGGTACGGGAAATTATTCATTCCCTTCCCTATTTCCTCGCAGCACGGTCCCCACAACCCTGCTATCTTTCCCCATTCCCACTTCCGAACTCATCTCCTGCCCTCCAGGCATTACGCAAGCGCAGAGAGATTCCCAGCCTTGGCCGCCAGAGAGCCGGAAGCATCGATCGACTCCGTGCTCGGCTTCTAGACTTGTCGACGCTCGATTGAGGAGCCTGGCAACGTTACTTCCGGTGCCTGGCTCCGTTTCCTGCTGTTAGATCTAACGAGGGACGGCGTACGCCTTAGGTGGGTTCCTGCGCCTTCTACCTCCTTGCTCTTTCTGTTCTCCTGACTCCTCTGCCTTTCTTTTCCCCTGTTGCAGCTGGGAGCGGACGAAGCGTAAAGCTGAGGTGGGGACGCGTTTGCCCCGGGGTTCTGTCTTAGGGGCGAGAAGGGATGGAGACTGACGCGCGTGACTGGCTGGGGCCGGGCATCGCGTCTTTGCTCCCTTGGACTTCTTGCCGGGGCTTTGGGCGAAGGTGCTTGTGTCTAGAGAGGTGGGAGGCTTGCGCGTACGAAGTAAAGGATAATTCATGTCCATCTGCTTTTGCGAGGCGTGGGCCGTTCACTGAGCTTTCAGGTGTCTTCCAGCGGCTCCCTTTTGGTAGTGGCGGGTAATTCAGAGAGGCCCTGTAGCAATCAAGGTTATGTTCAAACTTCGCGGGAGACCCTGCAGGAACCTCCCCTTTCTTCCCCTACCTTCGGTTTGACCTCTGCCTCAATCACTTCCCTTTCGTCGTCTCCTTTGCGACTCCTGCCCCTTCTCCAGATTTCGATTTAGGGGGTCGCAAGGTTTTGAGGAGCGTTTCCGTAGCCCCGCTTGTAGGCTCTTACCTTGTCAATCGTCCAGTGCTGTTCATATACAGTGGATGCTCTGTAAATATTTGTGAGATAAAGAAACTTTGGGGTACACAAGGAAATCAAGCAAGTTCACACTTTGCAAGTAAAAACAATGTGGAAAATGCAATTGTGTGGTAGATGAGAAAAATGTAGAGAAAGCAAGGGCTGAATTTCCAGGCCTAATGCTTATTAGCTGTGTGACCTTAGGCAAGTCCCTTAACTGGTAATAGCTGTTAATAATTACTCCTAAGTGCTTACCGCTGATGCA